ATAATGTTTCTCCTAGCTCTAGTATCATCCCCTTATTAATAGGCTTTCTGGACAAAGCAACTTAGTAACGAGAGATCCGAGTTCCAAGATTCATTTAGTCCACGTAACTTTTGATTCATCATATCTCAAAACCAGAAATGTACAGTATTTCCCTTTGGTGCTCTCTTAAACCAAACGCCTTCAATGTCTGGTTAGACCGGTTAAATGGTAAAACTATGCTTCAGTAATGTTGTGTCTAGCGTGTAACTGTGTTGTGCTAATAACTTATACTGTATGAAATAAATGTACTATTTAAATTTCTGTCAGAGTATGATTTTAAAATGGACAAAGAGAAATGGTTGAACGATTTAACACACAAGGACATAGAAATATAACATACCACGAGAATTGGGCAAATATTTTTATATAAAACAAGAGAGATTCTCATTGGGACATTTCGACGAACACCTTCAGGACTATGCTAAACCTAAACAAACGCATAACTAAAAAACCGAGCAAAGCTCTACAGCAAAGAAACACACGAACAAGACCGCCCATCATCGAACTAAACAGAGGTAGATTATCACAAGTGTCTTCAAGCTCTTTCACCACGGATCCTCCTAGCCAATTGAATGTCCTTGGGCATGATCGTGACCCTCTTGGCGTGAATCGCACAAAGATTCGTGTCTTCGAACAATCCAACAAGGTAAGCCTCAGCCGCCTCTTGCAAAGCCGCGACAGCGCTGCTCTGGAACCTCAGATCGGTCTTGAAATCCTGAGCGATCTCACGGACAAGACGCTGGAAAGGAAGCTTGCGGATGAGAAGCTCAGTGCTCTTCTGGTACTTCCTGATCTCACGAAGGGCGACGGTTCCGGGACGGAATCTGTGTGGCTTCTTCACTCCTCCGGTGGCCGGAGCCGACTTCCTCGCCGCCTTAGTTGCGAGCTGCTTCCTTGGGGCTTTTCCTCCGGTGGATTTCCTAGCGGTTTGCTTGGTACGAGCCATTTGATGTTTTGTCGAAAGAACGAAAAGGTTGTTACTCTTTTGTTGTGTTTGTGATTTTGCTTTGTGAGAGGATGTGATTTGATGTGGAGAGTGGAGGGTGTGATGTGTTTTTATATCGGAGGGGAGAAATTAAGTATTTGTTTTCATCCGTTAGATCTGTTGGCTTATCGACGGTTAATATTGCTTATATGTTTGCGATCCGCGTCGTTTCTTTTCTTAGCCAATCAGGATGACTTTTATCCTTCGCTATCCGCGTCATTTGTCAACCAGCCAATCAGAATGACTTATTGTTTTCTCCGACTTTTTTTCCCGCGAATTAGGCGTCTTTTTCTTCTCTTTTTCAATTACTAGGCGCGTTTTGAAACTAAACAATGTAGAGGAGGGCTTCTCTTCTAATTACGTCAAATATTGTATCTTGTTTTATTTTGAACTTTTAAAAATTCTGTTTGTTAGAGCATCATTATTAGTGGACAATCTCTCAAAAATAACTTCTTATGTTTATTTTACTGATTTCATAAACGTTTTACTTATATAATTAAATTTAATTGTAACAAATATAACTATGGACATGCGACTAATTCTTATAGATGTATGGAAGTTTGACTTGACTTCTTTGGTTTAACCATCTTTTATGGATTGAAAATAAATCTCAATTCGATGTCCAAAATACTTGAAGAGAATTCTTTTTTTTTTGGTTTATATGATTGAACCAGATGTGGGTATATTCCATGTTTAATTGGTTTTTTTAATAAAATAATGGTGTGACTTATAATACGTTAACAACAGTTTCATTAAATAAAAATGGATATTATAAGAAAATAGAAAAATGAATGAAACTTTGATTTATATAAGAATCAAAAACTCACATAATTAACCAGATAAATCAAATTCTTATGTTCTGTTGATGAGATAATGTCTAAACTAAACTTATCACGGGGAAAATCAAAGACAAGTTTCAATACCCAAAGCCAAATTGTTTCATAGTTTCAGTTTGACTGTGGTCAAGTACATTCATTTAGCCCTTCTGAAATTAAAAAAAAAATCTCACACTTCTCATAACTCGACACCAACTACATCTCAGACGTTATATCATGGTCAGGCTCGCTGCAGTTATATGGAGATTACAAGTTACAAGGAATTCTTTCGTGGCCACAAAATCTCCCATTGTATTTCACAGACTAATAAGAACATATAGAGACAAGTCTGAAGGATTCAATCACGGTAGAAACAATCTAAAACTGAATGATTTCTTAGACAAATAATTGTCTAATCGCACGATACAATTATCACAATGGGTTAAATGGTAATTTAGTTGTGTGTTTTATTTGTTTTTAACCTTATTAAGATCTCTATCTAATAATCTAGACAGGTTCATAATCATACTTACTAGCAGCGATAAATAATATTAACTAGGTGGTGTGCCCGCATATGCGGGCATAATTACGAATATTTATTATTTATTATTTTATTAATTTTAAAATAATATTATAAGTTATTTTTTATAGTTTTAAAAAACCTAAATCAAACATTAAAATATTTTTGTATGAATTTTCATCAAAATCCATAATCTTATTATAGTGTTGAAAAACATCCACATAATAAAATATTTTGAAAATATATTTATATTTTTTCTTAATATTTAATTCTAAATTGTTTTATAACTAAATTTTTATTTTTCATAATAAAAAATATTATTTCCAGATAACTGTAAAATATTCTCTAAGATATCTTATGTTTTAAATATGCATGAATGTGGATAATTATCCTATTAATTTATAATAAATTAACTAATATAATAACATATAAATTTCTATCACTAACATAAAATTCGCTTTTAACTAATTTATATATAAATATATAAATTTCATTAAAGGTATCATTAACTTGAACCGTTCCAATTATTAATATCTAATATTTAATTATATAATTAAAAGTATCTTTATACAAATGTTTTTGTTTGCTTAATATTTAATTAAAATCGAATTTTAAATTTTATTTTTTAAATTTTAATTTTTAAATTTTAAATTTTATAATAGAATGATATTATTTTCAAAAGATAAAATAAATTCTATAAGAATTAAGATATATAAGAATTATCATGTTGTTACAATATTATATTCAAATGATAATAACATATATAAGAATTATCTTATTTTTGATTTTCTTATAAACCTATTATTAATTATTCTAAGTTATCTAAGATAATAACATACTAATCTAATTTTATTTTTTAAATTTCATTTTTAATTATGAAATTAGTTATATATAAAAGTTTCATTAAGGGTATAATCGATATTAACCACTCCAACTTTTAACGTGAGAGCTCTGTTGCGAAAAATCATATTTAATTAAAATCGACTTTTAAATTTTAATTTTTAAATTTTATAATAGACTGATATTATTTTCAAAAGCCAAAATCAATTATATATAAAATTAAGATATATAAGCATTATCATGTTGTTACAATATTATATTCAAATGATAATAACATATATAAGAATTATCTTATTTTTGATTTTCTTATAAACCTATTATTAATTATTCTAAGTTATCTAAGATAATAACATACTAATCTAATTTTATTTTTTAAATTTCGTTTTTAATTATAAAATTAGTTATATATAAAAGTTTCATTAAGGGTAATATCGATATTAACCACTCCAACTCTTAACGTGAGAGCTCCGTTGCGAAAAATCACTTCGGAAATAATAGTATAGACAAGTATTGTTTTTTTATGTGTTTTTTCATAGTTCAAGTATGGACTATATTTGGATCATCTTTCATGGATTTCGAATGTGTTGGGAATTTGAGATCTTTCCCAGATCTTACGGAGATTTCTGAAGAGAATCTATAGAGAAATAATGTGTTTCGTCTTACCAAACATGGTACATAATGAGACAAACTTATTATCTAGTGATTTTTTTGAGATATATGCACTAGACCGGAGACTCCATGTAAGTTCGTAAATAAGATTGTGAATGAGATCAGAGAGCTCGTAATTCAAGACTACTTCACGATTGTAGGATTGGTTATGGTATGGCTTCAAGTGTTGAGTGACATATTGATTAAACTGGGTACTGATCCCTGTTGGTAATTCCAGTTCGAACGGTTTGAGATTGGTTTTGACAAGGCTTGAAGAATGCAAGGAGAGTTTGAGTGTTATTTTTTTTGTGTTGCAGACGTTTGGCAGAAGATTTTTGGTGTTTGGTTGAAATACCGAAGGCAGAGAAGGTGTCTATCTCTTGGAATTGACATCTCTCATTTGTTTCTTATACACCTAGGCTTAATATCCGTTTCTGTGATGACAAAAAAACTTCTAAAGAAACTTGTGAAGTAAATGTGTGATCTCTTTATTTATTCTACTATTCAACATTCATAAAGAAAACAAATTAATCTCTCGTTGCTACAATTCCGTGTAATATTTTTTCGGATCTATTCAGGTTTTGGGGTCAAAATTTTCAGCCCCATTCAAATATTTCTAATTTTTGTTCGGATTCGGATTCTAATATTTCTAATTTTCATTTTATACTTCAAATTTCTGAAAATTTATAAACAAAATAATATATTACATATAAATTTGAATAATATATATCAAAATACCTAAACTTAACATATAAATTGATTTGGTTTCAACATTAGATAGAAAATCAATACACCTTTTAAGTGTTTTTGGTGTTTTGAGTATACTTTAGCTATTTTAAACATTTACTTTTAACTATTTGTATATATTTTCAAGTATTTAGACAACTTAAAATTTTTAATATATTTTGGATGTTTTAACATATATCAAATCTAAAATAATCAATATATTTAGGTATATAAATATATTCTGGATACATTCCGATATCCAAAATACTTTGATTCAGGTCGGATTCGGTTCTTTAGATATCAAAATTTTGAATCTATTCAAATATTTAATCGATTTCGGTTCGGATTAGATACTACCTTTTTGGATTTATTTGGATCGGTTTTTCAGATTCAGTTTTTTTCTATATTACACCGGTCCAGTTAGTTGGTCATATTTGTCATTTATAAATGTGATTGAAATGATTATTTCAACGCTGCATTTCATTCAATAAAACGAATGATGGGTGTTGCCTCAAAGAAATCTTCATGTATGAGACGATGCATATGTAAAACCTAAAAACAGAGAAATGCAAGTGCCGCTTACTGATTCCCCCTACGTAATGTCTAGTCACTCTATCTGGGGGCCTCTTTACTCTTTTTGGTTGCTTCCGAGTCAGACCAATTTTGAACGCGCATACTTGCTGTTTGTGCCTACAAATTTGAGAGAATTGATGAGACATTGTATTGAGTTAGCATACATGAAGATGAAAGAAACCATATAAGCGAACCAAAAGCAACAAACTATGAAACATTTTGAGTTACCTCTTTCTCCCAGTCACATCTCATAACAATAAAAATCAAAATCAATGTTTGAATGGCGGTGCCTCCGAATATCATACCAGCCCAAATGCCCTATAGCATAATAGCAATAGAATTATATATATAACGATATTAACGTTGCACTGTTGATATCATGTAAAGAAAGGAAATTAATTGTTGTTCAAAAAAAAAAAAGGAAATTAATTAGGTTACCTTGACACCAGACTTGAAAATCCAGCCCATGACAAATCCGAGTGGAAGTCCAATGAAATAATAGCATCCTAGGTTTATATATGCCACAAATGATTGCCAACCCGAACCTACCGCAACACCTAATCAAAAATCACATCACCAGCCCGGTTATTTTGGGATAGCAAAAAGTATTAGAATTTGTTTTTTTTTTTTTTTTTCGTAGCGTACCAGAAAGAACCGGTTGGATACTGTTGAGAAGAATGGTAAAGGCTAAAAGAATAGAGAGATCATTGACTGCTTTTATGACAGTTTCGCTTGAAGAGAAAATCCAGCCTATTTGATTATGAAAAAATACTACAAGAACTGAAAGTATTATTCCCATGATTAATGATTGTGTCACGGATGTGATCATTGCAAATCTTGCTCTTTTCCCGCTGCCTGCTCCTAGTTCATTAGCCACTCGTACGCTAAAAAAGCAAATGATTTATTCAACGAACTAGCCTAACCAGAGATCTAAACGAAAAGTAAAGTATCTATATATCAATCGATTACCCGGTCCCGGCAAAGAAAGCAAGTGGAATCATCATTTCCAACCCATTTACCGACATGCTGCCAGTGGAAATAAAAATTATAAAATATGTTCAGAGAAAATTATATTTAAATACATATATCTGACGTACCATATAGACAAAGAGTCGACAGCAATTTTTGTATCCTCTAGATTCCCAGTCATTACGATTAAAATCCTGTAATACCAATACTCCAAGCTGTATCTTGATAAAAAAATCTACCGTAAGAAGTGTTTCTCATGCCCAAACAAAATGTGACACAAGAAGTGGCGTTTAAACGAATTATTACCAAAGCATGACTCCGGAGGATGTGGATAGCTTAGCAAATTCCCATAGTCTAGTGAAAGCTTCGATGGAGAAACCGGTCCAAGTGAGTGGACAACCGCCGCACGTGGCGTAAGTAAATAACATGAAGACAGTGAGCCACCATGACACGTTAATAGTAGCCATGGTCCCTTTGACTCCAAGTTTAAGACCGTACACGAAAAGCCAGCACACAAATATGTGAACTATGAGTGCCACTCCAGACACAACTGCAACCACCTGGAATTGTAAGAGATATATCAACCAACACACATATAAAACCATCAAGGGACTAATCCGCCTACCTTTTAATTCTTATTTTTTTTTTACCGTATATCATGTTAAACAACTCTTTTTAAGAGCTTAAACCCTTTTCAACGGGAATATAACCCAAACCTTTTAATTCTTGATTTAGTTACATACCCTATTCTTGAGCTGGCATTGGAAGAAGCGGCTGAGAGGGAAATAGAAGGCAAACGCGAAATGTGTAGGAATGGCCCAAACGGCGATGACACCAGAGAGCTCGGCAATGTCATCAGGCTGGCCAAAGAACTTAAGAATCGGAGACGCAAATAAGTACATAGGAAGGAGAAAGATGGAGAATAGGAAGAGAACAATCCAAGATCGCTGCAGATAAACTCCCAACATGTCATACTTCTTAGCTCCAAACGCTTGACCGCACAACGTTTCCAACGCACTCGCCATTCCAAGCTGCATATATTCATACACATAGTTTCTTTTAAAAAAAACTAAACATTAGTATAATTATATAAGGTTGAAAATGTTTTTATATATGTTGCTTGTGAATACGAGGAGTCCTAGGTTAAAGCCGATGATGACGTTGTTGACGATGGAGATGGCGGCAAGTTCAAGCTCGCCAAGGTGGCCCGCAAAGGCCTGAGTGATGACCAAGATCGAGTAGGTCGAGACTCTGGAGAATATGGCCGGTCCAACTATACGCCATAGCTTCTTGGTCTCCAACCATATCTCTCTCTTTATTTCTATGTCTTCCTCCTTCGCCGCATATTGATCCCTCAACAGAGGAATCCTCGCTTTCTCTATACCTTTTGCTGTGTCGTCTCTTTCTACCATCTTCTTGGAAGTAAAGATCGTGGAAGAGAGTGAAGAGTAGATATGGGAGTGAAGAGTATATATGAGGGTAAAGCGTTTTGAGTGGACACTCCACCATACCTACGCGCGGTCTGCCTTTTCTGGGATTTTTATTAATTTTCTGTCCCGATTCAACCAATAATAGCCGGCATGTTTGTTTTCAAATAAGACGGTAAAAGTAGTAGTAACTTAAATTATTGCATATGTAGAACAATTTTTTTTATTCCATAATCCCCTAGATTCGGGACTTGGTTGACACTGATACTATGGAGATAAGGTTCATGGTGTAAAGTATTCCTCCATGATGGATCAAACTCAGGAACCCAACAATACCAATATTTACGTTTAAACCACCTGAAATACTATATCCGTGGTGAATTTTTATATCTTCAAATATCTTAACAATATAGCTACTTAATAGACTTATAGTTGATATCACATGCCGTTCGTCCTTTGGTTTTATATTAGGAGGTGTTATTCAATGAGTGTTTTTAAATCAATTATTAATGTTTTGTAATCCATCAAAATTTAAAATTTTAAGAAAGTTAGTTGGTAAATTCTAAAATCTCTGCAGTATGCCTTGGATTTTAAATTCATTCATTTGTTCATGGGAATCCATAGGAAATGATTTGAAATCAATTCAAAATACAACGAATTTTAAAATCTTTAAAAGTTGAATAACACTAGATTTTAAAAACTAAATTTAAATCATTCATTGAATAACGCTAGATTTTAAAACAGAATTTAGAATCATCATTTGAATAACAATGGATTGTATTTAGATTTAAATTCTATTAAAATACATGATTGAATAACACCACCTTAATTGATTATCTAGCTTTTCTTAAAACAGATTTGAAAAAATCTTAAAAGGTATTTATGCGACTAATGTTATAGATCAGTGTTTATTTACTCGTCTCATCCCTCTTAATATGAACTAGATTTCAACCCGCGCAACCGCGCGGGTATTTGTTTTCATTTATTTTATATAAACTTTTTGTCAAAAATATATAAATAATTAATTTATACTATTACAACAGTAAATTATATGAATTTAATTTATGTATTTCATTATATTATCTATAAATCCAATAGATCCTCTAATTATTATTAGCCCAATAAATTTTTTTGGCAAGCCCAATAAATGTTATTAATGAACCTAATAAATATTATTAATAATTGAATAATATAATGTTACAAATTCTAGTAGATAGTCTATTTTAAAATATCACACATTAAAAGAGTCATGACTTCTCTTTTAATATATTAGATTTCTTTTTGTGATTCAAAGTTCATATAATTTATTTCTATACTTATTTTTTTAAAGAAACTGAATAATTTTTTTTTTTTTAAGAAAGGCTTAAAAATTGTAGTATAAATTTTGGGCTTTCTAACCATAATTCTCAGCCTCCGTTGATAATATGGCATTTAACGTATAAACTTGATCTTGATTCGCACAACCGTGCGGTTAATTATTTTCATTTTCTACAAATATTAGATCTACGTGATTAGTAGTATATAATTTTAATATTTATCATATTGTTAATAGTTTAATATAATATTTTCAAACACAATCATTTCCTAGTTTGCATGCAGTTATTTAATTTATTGTTTCAAATTATTAGTGATACATTTCTTATTAACACATGAACACTAACTAAAACTTTACATTATGTGATATTTACAACAACATTAATTGAAAAATATTTGTTAAATTATCACAAATTCAATACAAAATAATGCATGAATTTAATATAATTACATAATTAATTAGATACTAAAAGGTTTATTTTAGTAATATGAAATATATATTTATATTTCAAATAATTACGAAATTCATTAAATATTTAAAAGGTTTGTTTAAGTGAAAATGAAATATTCGTTTATATTTTTAAAAATAAGAAACTAATTACATATTTTTAAAATGTTTGATTTAATGAAATTGATATATATATATATATATATTTATATTGTATATAAAAAGATATGAAAAGATTTTGTTTAGATGTAATTCAAAGAAAATATAGGAATATCTATTTGATTTTTCTTAGAATAGTTAAAATATTTCAAATATGTATACAAAAATTCATTCAAGTAAGTTTCTAAGGATTTGTCTGACTAGAAAAATACACATGAAATAAGTTATGACTTCTCTTTTAATAGTATTGATTGTGGGCTTATGTTTGTAATAGCCATAAAAAAAAATTAGATTTTAAAAGAGGGAAAAGAGAGAGATAAGAAGAGAATGAAAGAGAGAAAAAAGGAATTTGGTTAGTTAGCTAATTTTTTCTTTTAACTAGATTAACTCTAATGAGACACCAAAATGTGTAATTTAATCTCTAATGAGACACTAAAAATTACACAGTTCCACCAAATTTGGTGTAGAGTGAATAGTGTTACACCAAATTTGGTGTACCACTATTTATCACACCAGATATTTAATATACATATTTTATTATGTTTCATTCAATAATATAGTTTAATTCTTATTATTAATTAGTTTAAATTTATAACTACGTATAAATATACAATATTATTTGTATTAATTATTTTTACATAAATATAATATTTTATTTTATTTTCAAGTACAAATCACTAAATGATTCTTATCAATGATTTTATATTATAATATATTTTTATTTTAAAATATCAATTATAATTTTTGTTTAATTTTTGTTTAATCAGTAATTAATAATTCATAATACTACATTGTAAAGTTAGATTTAATAGTAAATAGTTAAACTTTATGTAATATTATCAAATTGATCAAACATTAAAATAATTTTTTTGGTTTTATTTTATAATATAAAAAAAAATTGTATTCCTAGCTAACACAAATTTTATTAAATAAATATACTTTTCTGTTTTGTTTTTTCTTTTTCATAATTAATAATTTGTAATTTTTATTTAATATTATATATTAAATAAATATAGAAAAATATAATATTTCTAAACAGAAAATATATATGTATAAATTCTATTAACTTAAAATTATAAAAATTCAACAATTATAACATCTAAGTGTGATAAAACAATTATTTATCAATTAAAAATAATAAATTTATAACAATATTAAGACTAAAAATATCAAATAATATATAATATTATTTTTGGTGTAGTGTTTGGTATCATGGTTAAAGATGATTCAAAACAATTACACCAAAACACCAAATTTGATGTAGTTTCAACACTATATTTGGTGTCATGGTTGGAGATGCAATTTTTTTCCGAAAATTATCATTTCCAATAAAACTGAAATAGTGCATTAGACTACTATGCGATTTGTTTATTATAGACATAGTCAACATTCTATTTTGATTCTGTTTGTTCCATATCAATTGTTTTTTTAGATTTTGTTCTACACTAATCACACATTCTATATGATCTCTTTAGTATTCTCTAATCTGCTGCTGGTATAATCTGGACCATAAAGTAATAAATATATATATATTATAAACAGTTAATTTTGCGTATCTTTTCATAATTCATATATTACATCTTTGTGTCTGATGACCAACTTAAATTCCCACGTTTTATATGCAACTTACGTACACATTGTTTGATGTCATAGATCCAATAACTCTCTTTTCTACCTTTATATTACTATATATCCTGCCTAAAAGTTCACTTTTCTATATAAGAGCACTAGGGTCGATCCGCGCTACGCGCGGATATTATATAGATTTTGATTTAGTTATAGTATCTTTTATAATCACTTTTTGGTTGTTAGTTAAGTTTCTTGGATGTTCTGATTGTGTGAATGTTCTCAGCAGTTGAAAATGTGGTTTGTGATAAAGTGATTGTAATTGGACAACTGGGAGAGTAATATATAATGGTGTGAGTGAGTTTGACAGATGGTGAAGTTAATTAAGTTTACAAAAAACTGGTGATCAAAATTTGTTAACATTCAGTGTATTCGTTTATGTTTAAGAAATGTAGCGTTCAATTTGAGAAGCATAAGGGCTAACATATTATTAAGAATGGATGGTGATAATATTTTATTAATAATTAAGGGGTTGTTCATACCATGGATTATTAAAATGATGTGATATACATGTAGATGATATATATTATCGATTTTTCTGGAAAAAAAAATCTTAATATAATTAAACAATTATATAACACGCTTTCTAAAATGTTTAAGATTTTTTATGATTATAATTGTTATTTGATTTTATAAATATTATAAAAATATTTTAGCTATTAGATTTATTAGTACCAAATTATTAAAATTATTATTTATTGTGGAATTATTTATTTATTTATTTAAAAGGTTACATCTGGATTAAAATGGTCACTGATGATTAAATTTGTTTTGAACTATTAAGTGTTTGTATTAAAATATATGGTTTAAATAGTTAATGAATAAGTAATATGTTGAATTTCATAAATTTCAAAATTAAAGATGATGTATTTTATTTGTAGTGCTTTTGGTTTAATAAAAATAGAGAAAACCCAATAACTATTAATAATTAAAAAAGTTGTGGATGTTGCCAATTCAATGTACTGCATCAGATTAATGTATTGTTTTTTTGTATTTAATATCTTTTTGCTCTTAATTCCATTTATTATAACAATAAACACACAAAATTGTCAAAAGAGAAAACAAAAATCAGCAGAAATTTAATAATGAGTTTTTTTTTCTTCTAAATTTGATGTATTAAACTTATAAAGTAGCCAAAGTTTACAATTGCTAGATACGAATAGTTTACAATTGCTAGATAAGATTTTTCTATGAGAAATCACACCTTTCTAACAAATATATGAGAAATATGTAAAAATATATATGAGCTTCCTCGGCCACCACGACTTCTATTTTCCTCCCTCTACTAATGGTCCATTATATTTCTTGGAAGTTTTGAGTTGGATTTACTGCTTTTCTTCTTTTGAGTCCTTTGAGAAGGATCACCCGAGTCTATGACAGCAAAACTACTACCGAAAATATTCCTTTTAACTTTATTAACCAATGAACCTGATAGAGAAGTAGAATCAAACAC